GGGGAGGGCGGTCCCGGTGCCGGCCCCGCCCAGTCCCGGCCCCGCCCAGTCCCGGCCCCGCCCAGTCCGGGCCCGGCCCCGCCCGGTCCCAGTCCCGGCCCCGTCCTAGCGGGGCAGCCTCCGCCGGGAGAGCCGAGTGCGGCGGCACGGGTGGACGCGCGCGAGAGGGGAGCGAACCCGGAGCCGGGCTGGCGGGAACGGCCTTTATTGAGCTGATTTACTGAGCAGATGCGGCAGCAGGGGCTCCCCGCCATGGCCTTCCCCTCCGTGCGGCTTCCGTGCGGGAATATTCATTCATTCATTCATTCATTCATTCATTCCTGCCCCTTCCCGCTGCCATCCCTGCACGCTCGCGAAGCCCTTGGGCGCCAGGGTGCTGCTCCGCGCTGGGTGCTGCCGAGTCCCTGTGTGGCCACTGTGTTGCAGGGTGGCACGGATGCACATTGGGTGGAGAGAGGAGCGGGACACGGTCCCACACACAGGGCGGGCAGGAATGGCTGCTGGCCTGGGCTGTCCCAGCAGCATCCCCCGGAACCGCGGGAAACCAAGCTGGACTCCCGCTGTGCACGGGGAGAGGAGGCCGCAGTGCGGGGTGCTCGGGGGTCCTTCACCGCGGCGTGGAGGATGAGCGCGTTCGGCCTCGTCCCGCTGCCTGCCGTGACGCGCAGGGACGGGCCGTGATGGGAAACCCGCGCGGCCAATGGTGCCGCTGCTTCGCRGCACCCGGGCTCGTCCCGGGCTCGTCCCCACGGGCTGGGTCAGGGGCAAGACCTGCCATGCAGCACCTGGGCTCAGGCCCTTCCCAGGCAAAGGCGAGTGCCGCGCAGCGCCTCGTTCTCGCACGGCGGTTGCTGTTTGCTGCTCCTCCTGCACRAGGGGCCCAAGGCAGGTTCTGGCTGCAGGCTGGGTATGGCCCAGAGCCTTCATATCTGCCAGCGAGGTGAAAGACAGAGGTGGAAAACTGCCGTTTTGGGCATGGCATCCTTGTCTTCAGGTTAGGGCAAGTTAGCCTTATCTAAGAAACCTCTTTTAAGGGAACTTTTCTTGCTTTCACGTGAATTAAATGGACACGATCCCACCAAAAGCAATTAGAAGTCACAACACCCTTTGGCAGGGTCAGTGCCCTGAGCATCATCACCACAGCGGGGCGGGACGTGCGCCAAGTGCTACGCACTCCCATCGGACGTGCCGGTGCGTAGCATCCCTCGCGGGCCTGGAATGCCTCCCTGCAGCCGCCGCGGGTCCCGGCAGCTCTTCCGCGCCTGGCTCTGAGGCAGCTCTTCCCCTTGTTCCTGCGGTTCAGCTGCACTCGCGGGCAGTTCACCCATTAACTCGCTTTACGACCCAAGCCAAACAGCAACGGCTCAGCCCGTGCTGTCCCGCAGCTCTCCCAGGCATGCAGCAGGCTGCAGGACTTTGCTTTGGGGAGGGCTCGTGGTGCCGGTGCTTTGGGGAGCCCTCGGGTGCCTGCCTGGGTGCTGCACCTGGCAAAGGGGGAGAAGACAACAGAGTGGATGATGCCAAAGGAAAGGTAGGCGGGAGGACAAAGGAGGCATCCACCTCTGGCTGGGAAGATGGACAGGGATGTTCAAGGGATCACAGTCCTTGGAGCCAAGTACCGTGGGTTGGGTCCCAGCAGATGCTGTAGTCAATGTGTCACCTGCAGTTAGGGTGCCTTGGAGCTGGTGCCAAGAGGCAACTCTGGGGCCACACAGGGTTTCAGGCAAGCTCGAGTTCGGTCCCGCCGATGTCCGGGAATTAGCACCCTAAGTGTGACCCACCCTGCCTCCCCGTCCGGCTTCACGGCTGTGATGGAGGAGGCGGGCAGGACTCCTTACCGTGCGAGTCCTGGAGCTGCAAGCGGGACACGGTGGGGAGGGGCTTGGTGCCTCTGCTGTGGGAACCAGGGCCATCCCCCAGGTGAAGGAGCACTCTCCTCTTCACACTGGCAGCCAGCTGGACAAACTGCAGCCGCACGTCCTTCTGCCAGTAAGAGTAGAGCAGCGGGTTCAGGAGGGAGTTGCAGAGCCCCAGCAACCACAGGTAGTTCTCAATGACTTTGTAGGGGAAGCACTCGGGGCACACGGTCTGCACGATGCTGGCGATGAAGAAGGGCAGCCAGGACAGTGTGAAGCAGCCGGTGAGCACGGCCACGGTGCGCATGGCCTTCATGTCGCTGACGGCGCGTGTCAGGGGGTAGCGACCCGCCAGCCCCGCGTGCTCCACCCCCCGGATATGCTGCACATGCGACGCTGCAATTTTCAGCATGTCGCAGTAGAGGTATATGAAAAGAAAGAGCGCTGGGAGGAAGCCGATGCAGAAGACGATGAAAATGTAGCCTGGCTGGAAGACTCCGAAGAAGGAGCACTTGTCCTTTGCAGAGACGTGCTGAAAGCTCGGGGCAACAACCGGGAGGAAACCGATGAGGGCAGAGAGCAGCCAGAGTCCCACCAAGCGTACCCCGACACGCAGGCCCGTCATTAGCTGGGAGTAGTGGAAAGGCTTCTTGATCGCCAAGTGCCTGTCGCAGGCAACCAGTGTCAGGGACAGGACGGAGGCAGAAGAGGAGAAGGTCACRAAAGCCATTCTCAGGACGCAGAAGGTCTGGGAGGGATAAAAGGGCTGGGAAAGCTCATCTATGACCAGACCGACGACCGTGAAGCCAACCGTGGCGTCTGAGATGGCCAGGTTAAGGACAAAGTAGTGCCCGTTGCATCTGCTCTTGTGGATGAGGCGAAGCAGGGCGACGGCCACCAGCGCGTTGGCRGAGATGATGAGTGAGGCCAGCACAGCAAGGACGAGTCCAAAGGCTGAAACAGCCATGGCTGGTCCCGCACAGGGCCTGGCYGCGGGCAGCGTGGCTCTAAGGCATCCCTCCTGTGCAGGGAGTCCCGGCGCGCACTGCTCGGCTCCCAGGGACAGGCAGCGCCGCGGGAGCCCCGTGTGCGGCGGCCGCTCCGCTCTGCGGCTGCCTGCCGGAAGGCACCGGGGCTCTGGCAGCGCCGGCCGTGCCCGTCGAGGGCCCTCCCCTCACGCCGCGTTTCCAGACAACCCTGGAGCAGCGTGGCGAGCGCCGGGGCAGGAAGCGTGCGCCAGGCTGTGCCGAGGCTGCCGCCCTGCCAAGCCTGCTCCCGAGGCTCCCACCCCGACAGCCCCGGCACGCGCAGCCACATCGGCTCCCACCGCCGGAGCTCCAACAGTGAGCCTCCCGGCATCACCCTCACTCGTGAGGCTGCCTCAAAGCCTCGGGGGGCACTGGGATCCCTGCTTGCCCAGGGCTGCTGCTGCAGCGGCCCGCAGGGAGCTGGGCATCCCTAGCCAAGCACCACGACTAGGGCAGGATTAATGCCCTGCTTTTGACACAGGTCTTCCCCCATCAAGAAGAGAGGAACAAGCAAATAGAGAACCAACTGAACAGCTCCACCAGGATGCACGGGTGGCTCACAGGGCTCTGCAATGTCACTGCCAGACCCTAGAATCATAGAATCATAGAATCATAGAATCATAGAATGCCGAAGGTTGGAAGGGACCTCAGAGGTCATCGAGTCCAACCCCCCTGCACACGCAGGGTCACCTAGAGCACGTGGCACAGGGCTGCATCCAAGCGGGTTTTAAAGATCTCCAAAGAAGGAGACTCCACAACCTCTCTGGGCAGCCTGTTCCAGTGCTTTG